AGAGCTGTCTGTTGAGCAATGAGGAATTCCATCCTCCACATTAGGTTAGGACTATTGGTCTAAAACTGAGTTACTCTTGGGTTAGGAATATACACCTGCAACTGCTCCTATAGGTATCCCTGTATAGGCGTGTTTCAGTTCTGATTTATTAAATGTTTATTTCATTTGGCTTGGTGGAGATTTGGGGTTTTTTTGGGGGGGGGTGTACAAATTCTGCATCATCTTGAATGGAGTTCTCTGACAAGAGATGGCAGGGGGAATTTTATGACATGGAAGCTACACCTGGAAACTTGCTTCCAGCCTCTGCTACATCAGGACACCTGTTTTTACTGCTCAGATGTACATATATTAACTCTGAAACCTCTTTATGTCTTCTCAGTTAATGGATGTTTATCAAGGGTGAGCTGAGACACGTACCTTTTTTCATCTTTTTTGTGAGTGTTGATGAATCTCTCTCGTTTAGATTCCTCTCCCTGTGTGTAAACTCACTTGAGTTATTTTGAAGCTTTTCTTCTTGGTGCCATTTTCTTCCTCCTCCTTTACCCTTACAATCTTCTTTTTAAAACAATTTTAATTCAAAATTAAAACAAGACATATTATCCAAAAACATATCATCCTTGTCCCCCCCATTTTTCCTCCCCCTCCCACACAAAACCCACCCGCCCCCACCCCCCGACTTCCCTCAGTTCCAGTCTTTGGTTTCTCTGAGACTTCTGTTTTCTGCATGTTACAAAGTTGTATAGATCCTCAAACTATTTAACTGATTATTATCGATAAAAAGTTTGTGAATGTTTATTCAAAACCTGCCAAGGAGTCCAGTTCATTTTCTTGTTTCTTTAAGTACTTTGTAAGAGGTTCCCATTCATCCTTAAAGTCACAGTTATCCTTGTCCCATATCTTATATGTCAGTTTTGCCAGTTCTGCATAGTCCGTCAATTTTTCTTGCCATGCTTCTTTAGTTGGGGTTTCTTCAGTCTTCCATCCTTGTGCTACCAGAACTCTCGCGGCCTACCCTTACAATCTCCAGTCACATTTACCCATGTTTGCTGTGGGGAGAACCAAATGGAGTTTTGCCAATGACTGATGTCACAGTACTACAGCTTGCACACTGATGGCTGATGGCTGATGTCACAATGCGACACCTGATGCAATGAGGCCATGTATGCTTATAAGCAAAATCCTGTGAGTTTTTACAGCCAGTAAGGTTAAATGGCAAATGAGTCTCAGAACTGGAAGGGCAAAAGAAGTAGGAAATAAAGCACCAAGAAGCAGCTACAATCAGAACAACCAAAGGATGCCATATCTTTTGAGGTGAGTAACTGCTGGGAGCTGCAAAGAATGTGCTATTTTCACAGGTTCAACCTGTCATTGCGGTCGGGCATCCGTGCTCTTGCAGCGATCTGGCTTGGGGACGCCCCCCCTTGTGCCAACCCCCAGCTGTGTCATGCCCCACCTGGCCAATCAACACCAGAGGGTGGCATGGCTGCAGGAGTTTTAAACCGTGGCATGGCCGGGGGGGGGGGGGGCTTCCCTCTTTCGCTTCCTTTATGCATTGTTATGACACGACTTTGCTATGGCCACCATATTATTGGGGCTGGGTAGGAATTGGCACAAGCCATTTTGTTTTCCCCTACCTTGTAGCAATCTTCACAACTTTATAAAGTTAGGCATTGGGTAAGCCTTTGTTTAATGGAGGGGAGGTTGTAGCCTTCACCTGTCCCTCTATAAAGGTATCCTGTTAAAGGCATCTGGGTGTGTGGATCCTGTCCAAAGCTTGGACATGGGCTAGGGCCATGCCACAACCCCAGAGGGCACCCCTCAGGGTGCCCCTATTTGTGCTTTACCCTTAGTTGTACTCCCTGCAAATGGGCAAGAGTCAAGATATAGCCTGGCTTCACCCAATGCCTAAGTCAAACCGTTCACATCTGTAACCAATAAAGTTGTGGCCCACTTTAGCCCATAACCCTAAATAATTGTGTTGGTGTGTCTATTAATCAATAGGGAACTGTGGGGCATGGGGCCTTGGTACGCAATGAATGATCAGAATTTGAAAGTATCTTATGCAGTCCTAGTGATAACCAAAGCTGAGGTTATTCTAACCCTGTGTTCAAACCCTTTGCCATTCTGTTGGCATCTCCAGCATGCTTGCTTGTTTTCAGTTACTTACAATTGTGGTTTTATGACTTGATCATGCATTGCCATAATCAGTCCTTCCACGTCTACAGGAGAAATAAACTCCACTTTTGGAGCTGTTTCCTTGATAAATGTGCATCTTTCCTCCTCGAGGCTTGTTGGGTAGTGGCAATGCGTTTTCCCCAGATTCTCAGAAGCAACCTTCTTTGAAATTGTTTCAGAAATTGTTTTTCTAATTTGCTTGGCTCCAGAGGGGAGTAGCTTTTTTATCTGCTCTCACAAGTGCTTGCAACAGGGAATAATCTATGTTCTGAAAACTGGCATTTTTAGAGTAATGATTTACACATAGCAGGCAGAAATGCACTGTGCCTCATGGAGGGTCTCCCTCTCTCCACACACACCCTACCCATTGCCCCCGCCCATTGTTTAGTTCACATTGTGTATGAAAGGCAAGGAGGATGCATAAAATACAGAACTAAAGACAGATTTAAAACACTAATTGACAAAAACATCTTTTCCACCTACCCCTCCAATGACTGCCCATTTTAGGTTTTGGCTCATCACTAAAAGATAACCAAGCTCTAATTTCAGTAGACTTCCTATTTACAGAGTTAAAAAATTGCCCTCTCTGGGATTCTTAGTAGATCAGTGGTATTTTAATCTTGGCAAATTCTCACTTTCCAATGCAAGCAACCAAATCTGACTCTTGTGAATTCCTCCAACTTCAGCTCCTCAATATGTCACTCATCCACATGTTTGTATTATCTCAATTCAAAACTAACGTTTTCCTTATAAGGTATTTCACCTTTGCCATGCATACACACGTGTGTGCGCCTTTGTGCTTGAATTCCTAAGCTGCTGTTTCCCATCCACACCACACACACCCTCCCTTCACTGCAGACCATCTGAGCATGGCAAATTTGACAGGTGGGTGGACCAAACTCCGGACTGCTGGGATCAGCTTGGGCAGGGGCACGGCAGATCCAGCAAGCAAGGGGTGTCCCAAGCAACAACTGACTGGTGACGGGCAGAGCTGCAGCAGATCCAGTTGGATTCCTCTCCCCTCTCTCACATGAGCATCCCGTGGAGTAAAAGGTAAAGGCAAAGGACCCCTGGACGGTTAAGTCCAGTCAAAGGTGACTATGGGGTTGCAGCGCTCATCTTGCTTCATGCCAAGGGAGCCAGCATTTGTCCACAGACAGCTTTCCGGGTCATGTGGCCAGCATGACTAAACCGCTTCTGGTGCAACGGAACACCGTAATGGAAACCAGAGTGCATGGAAATGCCGTTTACCTTCCCACCACAGCGGTACCTATTAATCTACTTGTACTGGTGTGCTTTCGAACTGCTAGGTTGGCAGGAGCTGGGACAGAGCAAAGGGAGCTCACTCCGTCGCAGGGATTTGAACCCGGCAGACTGGAGGAGGGCAAATGTTGTCCCTATTTTCAAAAAGGGGAAAAGAGAGGACCCAAATAATTACCGCCCAGTCAGTCTGACATCAATACCAGGGAAGATTCTGGAGCAGATCATTAAGCAAACAGTCTGTGAGCACCTAGAAAGGAATGCTGTGATCACCAATAGTCAGCATGGATTTCTGAAAAATAAGTCATGTCAGACTAACCTGATCTCGTTTTTGACAGAATTACAAGCCTGGTAGATGAAGGGAACGCAGTGGATGTAGCCTACCTTGATTCCAGCAAGGCATTTGACAAGGTGCCCCATGATATTCTTGTAAAGAAGCTGGTAAAATGCGGTCTTGACTATGCTACCACTCAGTGGATTTGTAAGTGGCTGACTGACCGAACCCAAAGGGTGCTCATCAATGGTTCCTCTTCATCCTGGAGAAGAGTGACTAGTGGGGTGCCACAGGGTTCTGTCTTGGGCCCGGTCTTATTCAACATCTTTATCAACGACTTGGATGATGGACTCAAGGGCATCCTGATCAAATTTGCAGATGACACCTAACTGGGAGGGTTTGCTTACACCCCAGAGGACAGGATCACACTTCAAACCGACCTTGACAGATTAGAGAACTGGGCCAAAACAAACAAGATGCATTTTAACAGGGAGAAATGTAAAGTATTGCACTTGGGCAAAAAAATGAGAGGCACAAATACAAGATGGGTGACACCTGGCTTGAGAGCAGTACATGTGAAAAGGATCTAGGAGTCTTGGTTGACCACAAACTTGACATGAGCCAACAGTGTGACGCGGCAGCTAAAAAAGCCAATGCAATTCTGGGCTGCATCAATAGGAGTATAGCATCTAGATCAAGGGAAGTAATAGTGCCACTGTATTCTGCTCTGGTCAGACCTCACCTGGAGTACTGTGTCCAGTTCTGGGCACCACAGTTCAAGAAGGACACTGACAAACTGGAACGTGTCCAGAGGAGGGCAACCAAAATGGTCAAAGGCCTGGAAACGATGCCTTATGAGGAATGGCTAAGGGAGCTGGGCATGTTTAGCCTGGAGAAGAGGAGGTTAAGGGGTGATATGATAGCCATGTTCAAATATATAAAAGGATGTCACATAGAGGAGGGAGAAAGGTTGTTTTCTGCTGCTCCAGAGAAGCGGACACGGAGCAATGGATCCAAACTACAAGAAAGAAGATTCCACCTAAACATTAGGAAGAACTTCCTGACAGTAAGAGCTGTTCAACAGTGGAATTTGCTGCCAAGGAGTGTGGTGGAGTCTCCTTCTTTGGAGGTCTTTAAGCAGAGGCTTGACAACCATATGTCAGGAGTGCTCTGATGGTGTTTCCTGCTTGGCAGGGGGTTGGACTCGATGGCCCTTGTGGTCTCTTCCAACTCTATGATTCTATGATTCTATTCTATGATTCTATGAACCACCGACCTTCCAATCAGCAAGCCCAAGAGGCTCAGTGGTTTAGACCACAGCACCACTTGCATCTCATGGGGTGGGCTAGGGATAACCTGTCAGGCAGGCATAGTCTCTCCTGCTCTACTAATGATCCTGCATTCTTCTCCAAGAGGGAGGGAAACTGCCAACTTTCTGCAGGCATCTGCTATGCACCCAGCCGTCCATACAGAGCTCAGACCCAGAGTTTCCTCATCTGGCTTCCTCTCCCAGAGATGATCAGGGGGGAAGGAATTTGCTTTCCCATGTTAATTTTTATATGCAAGTGGTGTTTTACTACTACTACTACTACTACTACTGTTAAAAACTTGTGCAAAAGCACAAAGGAATTCGGGTTTGTGGAAGGGGGAGTTGATTCATTCGCTGAAGAAGAGCACTTTTACCACCTTTAAAAAAAACTTTTCAGATTTTAAGTGCATATTTATTTTGCAAAGTGAGGATGTTAGCAGTGGGATGTGGGTGATGTTGAAGAGAAAACACTAATTTGATTGAAACTCAAGCAGCTTCAAATACACATTCAGCGCTGGAGTGGGCAAGCCCTGTATTGCAGCTGTTCTCCATTTTGCTTTTATCATCACGTTTAAAACCTGCTGTCTTGTACTGCATACCTTCACTGTCACCATTTCTCCACTAATTGTATCCTCAGAGTAAGTAGCAGTTTTCTTGGGGTGGGGAGCTGGGGGTGATTTCCAGCTGGAAAATTATGTGAGGTGGGGGGAAGAGTTAAAAGGGCCCTCCATCTAGTTTCTCCCTATGCCTGCATTTTGAAAGAGAGAGGGGAGGAAAGTAATCATGGAGAATCCATTCATTTCAATGGGTCTACTCTTAGAACTTAGTTGTCTACAACCCTTAGACTAAAAATGATGTACTCATTACATGCTGCATACCTGTGTTTGTGAATATTTTTATTCAGTCGATGCATTTGCATCCAATTTAAAACTGGGATGGATCTGATAAATATTGGATTTCCCTATGAATATTATTTTAGCTCTGTACTGTTGGCACTGCTTCCCCGCTCTCCACCACCAATTTGTTTGTCCAGCTTTTGTGTGAGCAACTATTGATAACACCATCAGTTTGTTCAGTGGTCCAAAAGAGCTTAAAACAAAATGAATCACAGGAGTTTATTACTCAGCAAGAACCTAGTCACATTGTTATTACTGTACCAAAGCAATCAATGTCAGTAACATTGTCATCTGAAGTACACAGCATGTTCGCAGTAACAAAAACATGTAGCATGTTCTCTTTATAGATAGTAAACAGAGAAATTAACAGCCAGCATCCTTGTTCAATGATGTAGAGGAATTTTACACTCAATTCCATTCTATGACATCTGTGATTTGCTTTGCTTAGTGCTGGCCACTGTTTGGAGTACATGTGATGTCCAAAAACCCTAATTCAAATAACAATAGTGTCTTGGATTTCATCTACAGTATTCTGAGTGTGAGTTTTTCATCTCTTGTGAAAGTACCATAAAAAATTCCATTAGGGATGAGCCAAAACTCCTTACCTTTTCTGTTCCATCTCAGGAGCAGCTCCAATTTTTGGCAACCCCTAATCTTTATGTTTTTGGAACCATATGTTCAAGCTAGTGGAGTTTTGGTGGAGGGCAAAATGAAATCATTTCTGCTCTGCCAAAACTCTAGAGTGGGCCACAGAGACTGTATTGGTTTCTGCCGTTTGCTGCTGGCATGGCCAAAGAGACTACAGATTCCTCAGCCGCTCTTAAGTGTGCTCAATGACACTCCAACAAACAAAGGGACTATGTGCACTTCCTGCTGCATTGTTGTTGTTTAGTCGTTTAGTCGTGTCTGACTCTTTGTGGCCCCATGGACCAGAGCACGCCAGGCACTCCTGTCTTCCACTGTCTCCCGCAGTTTTGTCAAACTTATGTTAGTAGCTTCGAGAACACTGTCCAACCATCTCGTCCTCTGTCGTCCCTTTCTCCTTGTGTCCTCCATCTTTCCCAACATCAGGGTCTTTTCCAGGGAGTCTTCTCTTCTCATGAGGTGGCCAAAGTATTGGAGCCTCAGCTTCAGGATCTGTCCTTCCAGTGAGCACTCAGGGCTGATTTCCTTCAGAATGGAGAGGTTTGATCTTCTTGCAGTCCATGGGACTCTCAAGAGTCTCCTCCAGCACCATAATTCAAAAGCATCAATTCTTCGGCGATCAGCCTTCTTTATGGTCCAGCTCTCACTTCCATACATCACTACTGGGAAAACCATAGCTTTAACTATACGGACCTTTGTTGGCAAGGTGATGTCTCTGCACACACTTATTTCAAAACTAATATTGGAATAAGTGAATATTTCATATTTAATTATCACATTTATATCACGCCTTCACTCCAAGGAGCTCCCCTGCCTTCCCCATTTTATCCTTGCAACAACCCTGTGAGGCAGGTTGGGCTGAGAGATCATGACTGGCCCAAGGTTGCCCAGTGAGCTTCGTGGCTGAGCAGCAATTTGAACCTGGGTCTCTCCAGTCCTAGTCCAATGCTCCTACCACTACATCACACTGGTTGTGCTTGCTGTAACCTGAATTTTATTTTTCAGACATTCTAGCAGATGTCTCCACTCAAGGTGTCCAAAAATTCTCTTTAACACCTAGGGATGGGGGAGAAATCCTAGGTGGATCACCTTGAAACCTGTGTAATTTGCACTTTCTGAAATAGTATGCAGACTGAAACAGAGCCATCCTTCAAAATTCACACTTCTCTGAATTTTGCAATGCAGTTCTCCAGCCAAGTAATGTGTACACAAATGCTTAAAATGCATATATTTACTTTTTTAAAAAAAGGCATTGTGCAAGGGGAAAGTGCTATGCAAAAATGTCTATATTGGGCAAAATCACATTCAAAGATGTGTACGTGTGAAGAAATTTGCAGTAAAATGCAACTGTGTTTTCAGGAGGACTTCTTTTTAATTGAAAACTCATGTGGAGGACTGAACTTGAGAGTGGAAAAATAAGAAAAGGAGAGAAACCAAAATTGACAGATTTGCCCATTCCTATTAATACTGGTGGGAAGATAGGGACACTCTCACCACTCGGAGATAGTTTGATCACCTGGATGACTCTGAAAGTGTGATCCTTGAGTATTTTAATGTTATGTGTGTGAGAGAGAGATGTATGCATGTCCACTTAGGCTGCAGTCTTACGTGCATTTACCTCAGGTTCCATTGCACTAAGTGATACTTACTTCTGAGTAAGCTTATATAGGTTTGCCCTGTAAGTTTCAGAACTTCTATGAAGCTAATGCTATTAGAGAGACATTTGAATTAATGCTCTGTAATTTTGTTCCACTGAGATAATGTGGGCGTAAGTAGGATAGATAGGCTTGTATTGTATATTTTCAGGAGAGGGGATGATTGCTTCTCAAGGAAAGGGATGCCAATAGAGGAACATCAAGCAAACAATAGCTGAAATGCTTCTTCATTATTTGTTCTGGTGTTTTGAAGGCCCACTCATTTATCTCATTCTCCAGTGTTTGTCCTAAAGTTAGGGGGGGCATTGGGTTGTTGTTTTCTATTTTGATTATATTTTTTGTGATTTTATTTTATTTTTTATTCTATGAACTGTCCTAAGACCTCTGAGTATAGGGCAGTATATAAATTCAAACAACAGCAACAGCAGCAGCAGCAACAACAACAGAAAGATGGCTTGTAAAAGCCATTCGATCTGAGCTTGGAGCAACCAGATCAGACATCTTTACACACTGAACTTCTCAAATAGACTGAGGTACAACAATAGGTTTGATTCCCTATCTCCTAAGGTGAGGGTGAGTAACCTAGTCTGGCAGAATGACTTTACGCTATGGCATTAACCCCCTCATGCATTAATTAGAGTTAAGCATGTTGGTTATATGAGGTTGGTTATTCCACATTCCTTCTCAGAATCCATCCCCTATTCTCTCTTCTTCCCCTCCCTCTTTGTGGAACAATGTCTTCCAGCTCCTCTTTCCTAGACTGTCTGCTACTTCTTCTGTCCTTCCCTGGGGCTGTGTGGGTCTGCTCTTGTCCTCTGCAGCACAGCTGGACAAACTTCAGACTTGTCAGGTCTCCTTTGCTTTTTCGCTAGAACTCCCAGTTTTACCAACCAGAGCCAGATGCAGAAGGCATGAAAGTGAGAATGAGAATGAGAGAGACATATTCTTACCCTAGGCATTTCTCCTCAGTACTGGGATTCAACTGAGCTCACAGTCCTTTCACAGAAAAGTCCACTATTAGTTAACTTTCTTCCTTTCAACAGGGTAGGAAAACTCACTTTCCTGTTCTTGTTAAGCAATTCAGAGTCTTGACATTTGACTGCAAATCGCTCAGAGATCTACCAGTAGATTCCTTCTGTTCTGTAAGATTCTAGCAATTCAGACAGCTGCTGGCAGTCAGTAGCCCTCCTGACATGCCCCACTGCTCTGTGACATTTGGGATCCCCAGCCCCTCGCTAGGAGAGACTTCATTACATCCACAGTTACCATAACCATAAATTGTGCAATTCTGCTCAGGGTCAAATGATGGTTTCTCTCAGAATTAAGGCAGGAGTATTAAACCTACTATACATGTGGAAGTATGAAGAATTACTCTCAAAACCATAAACATCAGATCCTTTCTGTCATGTCTTTTACAATTTGTTTATATAATAGAAGCCCGAAGAAGCGTCTCCACCCCCATCATTCTGCCTGGATACTGAGATCTGGCTCTGAGGGTCTTCTGGTGGTTCCTCCATTGCTTGGTTACAAAGAACCAGGCAGAGGACCTTCTCAGTAGTTGCGCCCAAGCTGTGGAACACCCTCCTTTCAGATGTCAAGGAAATAAACAACTATCTGACTTTTAGAAGATATCTGAAGGTAACCCTGTATAGGGAAGTTTTAAATGTTTGAATGTTTTACTGTGTTTGATGTTTTAATATGCTGGAAGCTGCTCAGAGTGGCAGGGACAACCTATTCAGATGGGTGGCATGATGATGATGATGCAAACAAAAGGTCACTTTTCTTGAACTATCATTTCAGTGTACGGCTGAAGTTGTATGTTAAATGTGCACTCTCTCACACACAAACACACACACATACGGGCATGTCAGATAAATAATTTAATTTAGCATTCTTCCTGATGTCTAGTTGTTTTTGTGTGTGCAGGGATCTTCTCTTGCACACCGGAGAATTAAAATACACAAGCCCACATTCCTCTCCTCCAACCTGTAATGACACGGTCCAGGAAAAGGTTTGCTACTTGATTCTGCTGATTGCAAAAACACACACACAAAAAACCTGGCCCTTAAGACAGTTTTAATATCTTCACTTGGATATGCTTGTCAATACCGTATCATCAATTTTATTCCAAATCCAAATCAGAGGACTGTCATATCAGAGAAGATGGCAAAAACGTATGTGACAAGTTGCATTTCAGAGAAATTAAAAACAACAAACCTCTGACAACAGGAGAGAATCTAGATTAATATGTCAACATCTCTTTTGATTCCCCTAAGAGCCTTCAGTGAGGTTGCAAGTCAAGCAATCTAGTATTTTTCAAATATTTAATACTGCTGGATTAATGAGAAATAAAAAGAGGATATTAGTTTCTTTGCCACTCAAATTCGGCTGGTTTAGCTCTTTTTCAGGCTCTTTGGCATGCATCTGAAATTTTACATATTGCATGGAAAACATGCCCCCCAAATATGCACACGAGCTCTCCTAATCTTACAGACAACGTATTCCATAAATCCCAAATTAGGTTAAGCACACGCAAAGGTATTGATTCTACCCATATTTGACACCCTTATGTGTCAGTGTTTCAGCAGCATGGATCAAATCAAGTCGATTATATGCCTGCTTTCATATCGAGTGATTAAATGCATGCATTTTCCTGTCGCTCCAAAGTATTTAGATCATTTGTGATGTGGAAATGAGACAGTGGCAGTGCTCTGTTTTGAATATAAAGCAATCATTCACACAACTGAGCAGAAACAATAGGGTTTTCATACAGATGTGTATGACCAAATAAAAAACAATCTGCTCAGTCCAGAACCTTATTTCTGTACAGAATTGGAGCATTATAACGTTTAAAATGATGCCAGTCTAAAGTTATCTAGGTCTAGTTAGCTGTTTCACTGCTTCCGCTACCAGTATTGTCCCATGTGATGGGAAATGGTGATCTAGGTGCCCTTGAGATGCACTGGAAACCAGTGGACCAGGGAGACTAGGCTAGACCTCGAAATGTTCCTCTGGCACCTCCTTCCCAAGGTCTGGGAAGCTTCTGCCTGGCTTAGGGAGGGAAGTGCGGTGCTCCGATGGGTCCAAGAGCCCTCCCGCCATTTACCCAACGCTCGCCAGTGAAGCCAATTGGACTTCTAGCACCAGAGATAGCTCAATAAGCAACCCCAGTTGGCACACCTAATCCTTTAGCGAGAGCACAACTCCACCTCCCACCCAGAACAGATTGTGCATCGTTCACATGCAGCTCCAGGTAATTTCACACATCTGTAACTTATTTTGATACAAAGTTATTTTGATGCGAAGTTACAAATGTCAGAAGACTAGGCTTTCATGCCTTTCATACTTTTTTTGTGTGCAAGTTAATCATTGAAAATCTCCTCCATGGCATTTCATTGATTTTATTAATGAGATCCCATCAGTGACATTTGGTGGCTGTACATCTGTCATAGCTGTAGGCTGAGGCTGGTGATTTACTGAAAGGGATACAGTCCCCCCCTGCTATAAACTGACACTGCTCATCTGAAGTGGTTGTAAGGTTACTATTACTGTCATTAAACATTCATTTGCAATCGGTGGCATATAGATGCTCTGCAGTGACAGTATCCTATTCTATGTCAATCAGTAAATCCAATGGGAGGCAATTCTCTGTTGCGTAATCACAGTATTGTGACATGTAGGTGAATGTGGAAGCCATGCTTTTGAGTCCGGCCATGTGCATCTTTCCCACATGATCATCTTGTCCTGGCCAGGCAACAATGGTATTTACACATCAGTCATGTGCATGTGCTTCTGGTCTTGAGATACATGCCACAGGAAAGCAACAAATATGACTTGGACCAGTGGCAAGTGAAGATCTGTTGGTGGAACTTAAAATTATAACACACACAGGGTTGCAGTGTTTCAGGTCCGCTGAACATAATAAACCTGTATTCAATTTCCTCCCTTCTTTGCATCCATTAGTACAGATCACCCCATATAATTGTTTATGCTGTGCATCATTATTCCTCTACTCCACTTGGTTGGCTGGTAGTGGCAGAGAAACATTTAGCATAATGTATGGGAACTTGAGGAATTCTTTCTTTGCCCATTGAGGTTCAAATTGATCTGCTCTGTGGCTCCCAGACATGTGTGGTTCACAATGCAGTTATCCTTCAGAGTTTGCACTTCTTCTGTTTTCCGTTGCAATTCTCTGTGAGAAAAAGAAGTATTAAAATGTGTATTTTAACACAAAGTACGTTTAGAAAAGACACTGAAATAAAAAAATATGCATTTCATAGATTTTTTTTTCCAATTTCTAAATCTTTATTTCATTTGATTATTATAATATGGAATATATGCCCTAAGGTATACAGAATTTACAGTGTAAAATATAGCATTAATAAAATTCCCGTTTTCCATTCTGTGTCTATCTTATTCTATTATTCTATTATTGTGACTATCTTATTCTATTATTCTGGCATTTCATAGAATCTATACATGGCTTGATTGTAGGAAAAAACCTCCAAGCAGTTTACAGAAAAATATTTTTAAAATAACATTACCACAAGAAAACATTTATAGCTATAATTTAAAACATACAAAAAGTTAAAACAACAGTAGACTAAAACAAAGTTAAACTCATTTAATAATTGGCTTAGTGAAGCATTTTTACTTTATTTCTGTCTTTTTGGAGCAAATACCCTTTTGAATGCAAATTGTCATGTGGATCTATTTTTTTAAATAAAAAAATAGTGGATTAATGCAGAAACAGGAGGGAACCAATTTGTGAATGAACACATGAAAAACTGAAATGGACTGGAAATAAGCTCATCTGCCCATCCATGGCATAATAACATTAGGACATGGGGTATTTGGGTGTAAGACACAGGAAGGCCTTTCTTTGGCAGTAGCTTCTCAGTGCATAGGGTTCTTCCACCCTGTGTTTGCAGACTGGCCTCCACACATGAGAAGATTAAAGGTGAATTAGAGGCTGCCGGAGCAAATTTTAGGTTTTGACTGTGAATAAAGGTCTGTGGGAATTACACGAATTGGTTTCAAGTGTCAGCTCTGTGAATATCTACCGAGAGACTCTCAAAAGAAAGCTATTTTCTATGACAGCATCACCCAATGTGAAGCTATATTGTGAAAGCTTTCCCTGCCATGTTTGTTTTGGCTCTGTAAAAACACAGCTTAAGTAAAATTGTGACTTCTTCAGTTACAGAGAAGCAAGACTCAGCAAGTTATGCGACGGAGTGCGATTTATTCCCCTGGTTACAATGCAGACACTGTTTCTAACTTGATAGTGCATGTGGTAGATATATCTTAGTGATTTTGTGCCTCAAAAGAACTAATCATTCAGCTTTCCTCCAAATAAAACATCTGGGGGAAGTGGTGAGCAGTGTTGTCCGTGAGCTAGTTCATATAAGCGCAAAATTCCCCCACACAAAATATCTCTCTGATGAAATGGACTCTAGTCCATGAAAGGTTGTGCCATACTAAATTGTATTAGTCTTCAGGGTGCTGCAAGGCTCTCAGCTGCTTTTATCTGCTGACAGACTCCATTTCCTGCCGGTGGTTTGTGTGAACATGACATTGCTCACACAGGGATGGAACCACCAAAAATGGAAGCATAGATGTTTGGTGGTTTGGATTTGCTTCTGGGTTCAGTTCAGTACATGTTTTTCCGTGACCAAACGTTGTAACAATCAAAATACAAAAAGTGAGTAAAAACTCAATTCATACCACCACAACCAATATTTTTATTAAGGTATTCTTGTCACAACTTAACAGCACCTGTGGAGATAGGGCAGCCTTCAGTATAATAAACTTCTCTTTACCAGATAACAGAAAGATCAATGTCAGCTGGATGGGCCAGTGAACAATTCTAACTAATAGGTAAGAGAAGAATGTGTTTCTTATTTTACCACAAAGGCAGTATGTTAGCTGAAAATGAGGAAGGTTATGTACAGCCCCATGTGGCATCTGTCTGTTGTGCACCAGGCACATCTCCATGCCAAAAGCAGGGGTCTCGGAGCAAGACCAAACCATAGGCAAGAAGGGTGAGTCACACACGACCACAACTTTATTGGTATCAGTGCATCCCTGGTTTGGCACAGCACAGGACAAGGAACTATCCCTTGGGCTGCCGGACTGTTGGCTGATATCACTTCTCAGCCCACCACCTGCCATAACTAAAGGAGTTTCTGGGAAGGTAGACCCCACCATGGTGTGGGTCAGGCATGTGGGTCCCTCTAGCAACCTGGGACAAAGGAAGATCTATCCCATTGCACAAAGGCTAACCATACATACATCTACTAGATTAAGAAAACATTAACATCAGTTATCAGGTCGCTCCTGAACATAGAAGTCTAGTAGGTGTCTCCTGAATCATTTGCATGTAAGGCCCAGTGATGCTTCCTGGATGATCATCTCTGGAGGATAAGCAGATGTAGCTGTTGCTGATGGGTTACTCATGGATCAATCTGCAAGTGC